GTGCACACGTGTAGAATGGAAGTGATGGGTTTCCAGTGAAAAAAAAACCAGAAAACGTAATACTAGTCAGTAGTGACACTGAGTTAGGAGGGGAGATAGCAGCTTTGGCTCTCACATTGGTCTGTCTCTGTGTGGTAACTTTGGGCGCCAAAAGAAACTGTTCTGGTTCAAGCCCAGGTGGCAACCCAGAACCACGCGGCCACTCCCTCACTCCCTCCCATCCTTCCTCCCTGCGCTCCCAGAGGGATGGGGAGGAGAATCAGAGGAATGTAACTCCCACGGGTTGAGATAACAGCACCCCAGTAACTAAGGTATAATACAAACCACTACTGCTACCACCTATAATAATGATAAGAGGAATAACAAGGGGAGAGGACACAACCGCTCACCACCCACTGACCAATACCCAGCCCGACCCGAGCAGTGATCTGGGCTTTCTGGGTAACGCTCCCCCAGTTTATATACTGGGCATGACGTGCTGTGGTATGGAATACCCCTTTGGCCAGTTTGGGTCAGGTATCCTGTCTCTGCTTCCTCCTGGCTTCCCCTCCTCTCTGGCAAAGCATGAGACTGAGAAAGTCCTTGGTCGGAGTAAACATTACTTAGCAACAACTAAAAACATTGGTGTTATCAGCGTTGTTCCCAGACTGAAAGTCAAAAACACAGCACTGCACCAGCTACTAAGAAGGAGAAAAAAATGACTGCTATAGCTGAACCCAGGACAATCAGCAAGGAATATAATTAATACTGGTGATAATGGGCAGCTCTTCTGTGTTTCTGGAAATGACTGTGACTCATCTAATTTAAGTAGAAAATAGAAATGCGTCTTCTGGCTGGGCAGCAGGTTGGCGAGCAAATTCAGGATGAGAAACACCTGTGTTCCAGACATGAACAGTCCTGTGTCTCTGCAGCAGAGCCATCTGTGACACAGGTTGCTTGCCAGATTTTTCTGCAGAAGGAGTTTATCTATTAGAAAGATGATTCCACAGTGCACTGTGGATATGTGCCACTTTGAGACAATCCACACAGGAAAGATAATGCTGCCCATTCAGTGGCAGCATCTGTTCTTTGGCATACACTTTGAATATGATCATTGCTAGTGACTTGCTGCTGAAATATTGGAAGCACTATCATGATTTAAATACCATTTAAATAGCAGGGTGTTTTTATGTGCTCTCTGCTGGTTCATAGCAGCAGGTGAACATTCCACTACCTCTGTTCTTCTACTGGATAAGATGGGATATACACAAAGTGTGCATTTATTCCTTCCCACAGCTTTGTGTTGTATCAGTGCCAAAGGCAGAAGTAGTAAAGAAGGTTTATGAATGGTCTGATATATTTTTCATTAGAATTGTGTTGATTTCCTGAAAGCATATTACACTGATACCATACTGCTGGTATCAGTGATAATAAATGTAGAACTATAGAATACTACCAGTCCTCTGTCCTTTTTGTCCCTTCATTTGGTTAAGATTCAATATAATTATTGCATTGTTTATATTTGCAGATATTTTTGGCAAACAAAGCCATTTGATCTCATAATCTGTCTTCTGGGACAACACAGATTATACAGAATATCAAACAATAACTCCAGTGTGCTTATAAACTAAGGCCAAATGATCTTGTTTTCAAAGGACTAATAAAACTTAGGTGGTTCCTACTTAACCTGTTCTGGTGACAGAGAAAAATATGTGGATTTATGCTATAGAATTTAAGGTTTTGAAAAGTCTTTCATAGCCTAAGTAACTTTTCCCATTGATATTTTGATAGTGTATCTAGATCCTATCTAGATGTGTTGCTTGTACCACAATAATTTTGACTCCAGTTGGTCAGCTTTACCCAGGTTTTTATTCCATTTGTCTAGATGTTGAGTAGTTCTGAGTGGTGAGCCTCAGGAACATTAGAATTGAAGGGGTTAAAGTGGGAAGAAGTTATTTTATCATTTGCATAAATCTAGGCACATTTGTAGTAGTTCAAATAATCTTGTTGGTATTTAAAGTGCCAAAAAATTCTAACATCTCTGATTAGACTGAATTTAATTTTCCTGATTTAGATATTAAATAGAAGCTGTAATTAGTATCTGATTCTCTTATGGAACTTTATTTTTAGGGTAAGCATGTATTCATGTTTAAACTATTCTTCAAGTGTTTAGTAATACTGGTATTTCAGCAGTGTCTGAAGAATGGGGTTGCAGTGCTGAATGCCTAGAATATCTTAAACACCTAAAATACCATTTCTTTCCAGTTCATGGTATTTTAGAGCACTTAGATAAGAGACCCAACTTTCTAATTGTGACAGTCCGACTTCCAAGGCTAACCCTGTTGAATTATTTTTGTGGACTGCTTGATTATAAGCTCTTACGTGGTTATTTCTTTGTAATTTGAAGTATCTCAGTAATCTGGTGCTGGAGGAGGATGGTTACCTGTAACACTCTCTAGTGAGTACATCTCTCCTGGGAAGACAGGCAGAGCGTTTTCTGTGGAGACAGACCTTAGTTTTCCTTATGGAACTGTTTGTGGCTGGAAATACGCTAATCAGAGTGTGAATATCTAAGCCTCAGATCTTTTTGATAGGACCAGTTGGACTTCTGTGAAACACAGAACTACCCAGGTATCTTATTTTGCCTTAACCTGAAGTCAAATGCCAAAATCACTGGTGTTTGTCAGAACCTTTAAACTTTCAGAGTATGTTGGGCCCTCCCAAATCCTCAAATGCGTAACTCAGTAAAAAGAGTATTTGCTGGGCTTGGAAAAGGGAAAGCTTAAATTTAGTTTTGGTGCAGTTTTCCCAGCAAAGTTGGTGAAAACATTTCTAGCTCAGGTATTTTAATTATTTCCTCTGATCTTAAAATGAACTTTAGTTCTTCTAAAAGCTGTCACCTGTCAGTGTACCCCTGAGAAGGTAGCTACTGCAATCCTGATAAAGTAAACAATAGCTACATGCTCCTCTATTCTCTGTGGCTTGCTTTGGGGTTACCCTGAGCTATTATCACAGTGTACCAGTGCTGTGTCACTTGTATCACCTGCAAAATAGACCATCCTAAGGGCCAGCCAAAAGCCCTTTCCTGACATATGGCTGTTCATGTAATAGCTCTTCTAGGGCTTAGAGTCTATCATGCTCAAGCATTCTTCCAGTCTATTTTCAGTCTGATTTTCCAGATTTTGCTGTCCTTTCACATCATAGGCCAACTGCACCTAAAGTGCTTCTAGTAGTATGAACCGTTTTGAGCTTCTTCATCCTATGTTTACTCATTCTATGTCAGGATGAAATAGAGCTTCCGTCCCCTCCCCCTTTCCCAGGTATAAGGGCAGAGAGTAGGAAAGATGATAGGTGAGATTGAAAGATCTTAGAGTAGACAAGCCGTTATGAAAATCTAGTTGGGAGCTTTCTTAAATATAAGGTATTTCATGAAGAAAGACACATAATCAGCCTGTGGCCTCAGGTCTGACTGTTCCCCTGGAAGACAAGGGACTGACAAAGCACCAAGGATGTAGGAGGGAATCAGAGCAGGAACTGCAATCCCCCAGGGGTGGGATTGAACACCACATACCAAGGAGAGACCAGATTTGGTATTCTAACGTGAGAAATGCTTTTTGGGTGAGTTTTAACCATGAATGCCCCCTAAACCCTGAGAAACCTTTCTTTTTAAAGAAATGTTTCTTCAGGAATTTCTTTCTGTGGTGGGTTACTGGTTTCCTTCCTTGCACTTCCCTCTCCCCCACATAACTAGTGCCTGTGTCAGAGATTGTCTATTTTGTTGGCTCTAAGGCTGTATCTTGCTCCTGTAAATGAGATTGGATGGGTGTGCAGGAGGCTGGCATGCCAGCAGGGAAAGAAGGATGCCCTGCTGAATGTCCCCTGGGAGAGCAGGTCTGAGCAAGTGCCGTGGAGAGGAGTCGTATCAGGGAACTGGTGACTTAGCTGCAGAAAAAACATTGAGAACCTGCAGTGGTGTGTAGGGGTCAGACAGTGAGGACTCCCTGAGGCTGGAGGGATTTTCCTGAGGTCGAGGAGGCCCTACTCTAAATTACGAAGTCATTGAATGATTTTAAATTTAAACTTCAAGTTCGGGGATTTAGATAAAACCATTCAAAAAAGCGGGGAGGGGGGTTGTGGGGGGTGTGGGAATCAAGCTTTTTCTTTGCATTTGTGGAATTCACTACTGGAAAAGGCCTTTCAAAGGACCAGCACGACAGTGTAAGGATACCTAGTCATTTCAGTTTGGGGGACATCAAAGATATTACAAGCTACCTGGTGAATACAGTATTTTGCTGATCAATTCTTCAAAGTGATTTTTAAAGAAGGAGTTACTCAGAATTAGCCAGAAAGCTCTATTAGAGCATTTTGCTATGGAAGAACTTGTTAACTTCCACCAGCAGCGGCAGTACCACATGATGGCAGGCAGTACTATTGCAACTATAGATCTGGTTTTTGTTTTGGTTTTGAAGGAAATAAACAGCTGTGCAATTTAGAACAACATTAAGACTTTTGGATGAGTGAACAGCCCCAAGCTTCACTTAGATACATTGAACTACCTAATGTTGCATAGTTTTGAGTCCTTCAAAAGAAAATAATCTGCTTCCTACCGTTCTTCCCCTTCCAACAACCCTCACTAGAAGGGAGCACTGTCATCATACAGTCATCATAGCTTCACTGCTCGTTATGGATTTTAACACGGAAGTCAGTCCTTTAAGAAAAATGAGGAACAAGTGTGGTGATTGAAAGAACAAATTAAACACACTAGAAATATTTGTAGGCTTGTTTTCTAGTGGTTCCTTTGCACAGTAGCTGATGTGTGGCCATTTCTCCTCTTTTAGTACATTAAAAAATGGTATGAGCATAGCTCAGGAAGAGCTCCAGTGAATATTAAGTTAAAGTCCAAAGGGGTCTGTCTACCTGACACTGAACTAAACACTTCTGTGAGATGAATTGAGCAGTTATTTGTGTCTTTTTTTCCCCACTTACTAATTAACATCTTGTTTGGCTTTTGATTTGCCTAGATATCCGTGGAATACAAGAGTTTTTGGACAAAGTATCTCAACAGGGAATGGATGTAGCATTGCAGAAAGTAGAAAACAACATCAATAAAATGATCACGGGGCTCTTTGCCACTATGCGAATAGAAGAACTAAAACCGCTACCGGGATACTCTGAGACGGGCTATTCTTATAATGAACCCCTTGACAGCCAAATCATTCATAACAGAGGTATGTGTTTATCACTGGTAACTTCGTGTTTTGATGACCAAGACTATAGCTGTTTGTCAAAAGATTCAGTTTATTTGACTTTGTAAAAACAATAAAAAAAACCCAACCCAAACAGCCAAACAAAAACTCCAACTAAGAATGTAAATATTTTCACTTCAAAGATCATCATGCAAGGGCATGTCTTTATGCTCATCAGTGTACACACTAAGCAGTATAGCTACATTCTGCATGAGCAAAAGCACTTAGGAAACATGCAGAAGAATCAGCATTCCAACTTCTGCTAAGGCTTATGGATATTATATTGCTATTTCTTTGCTCATTGTGTCCCTCACTAAAAAATGTTTACAAGTGACAATTGTATTATTATTTATATGAATATATATAATATGTATTTCTGGATAAAATGTGTCTACCTAATTGGCATTTCAATTTTTATTTAAATAGTATTTGATAAGGATCTGTTACATACGTTACTGAGTAATGGAATTTAGGAAGGCCTGGATCTGAATGAAGAATTTAAGACAATGGGCTTACAGTTGTGCTTATGTATTTAAACAAAAACTGCAAACAATATGCACAGAATTTTTAAATCCTCTTCAGGATTTAGTAACAGAAGACTCGTATCACATTCGATTATGACGTATTTTTTTTTATTAGTAGCATGGTTCTTTTTACACAGTACTGTGCTGTTTCAGATATGGTTTTACACATGTGTGTATACACTTCATCATCAACCAATGGTTAAAAACGAGTTTGTTTTCTGTGCTACAGAAATACACTTTCTCTCTGCAATAATTTCTCTTTACATCTATATGTAACTTACATTACTTTTATGCTTTCCTGTTGCCAAGGTCTTCAGAAATTGAGGCTTAAAAACTAACTCTGCATATGTAGTCACAAATGAATGCCTTTTAGGAACATTAGTTAGAAGAGGGCTTTTTTGTTTCTTTTTGGGGTTGGTTGGTATTTTTTCCTGTTGTTTATTTGGCTAGGCAGTCTGCTGTCCTTACTACACACTGAAGCTTGTTAATTAAGAGAAATGACGGGTTGCAGCTCTAGCCAAATGTCTGCAGTGCATTCTAAGATGTAAACAGTTTGTGGGCATGTTTTAGATTGTTCTGCACTGTTTTCATCACCCAAGTCTCAAGTGTTTTATTTTTCCATAAGAAATTTCACATTTCAACCTCAAAGCAGGAGGGTTCAGGGCTCTAGCTGCAATAACTTAGCGAACACAACTCCTGTTGTTCCTCAAGAAAAACACTCTTTAAAAAAAACCCCACCACTTCATCATTTATTTTTACACATTCAAGCATAGTAACAAAGTCATTGTCATCTTTTGAAGTATGTTGTCAAGAAAGTAAGTTGTTTCTTTCAGAGTTGTCACTTTGGCATTAGCCACTCAAATCCTCTCTCCCCCCAAAAAACACCAACAAACCCTCCAACTAATCCAAACCTACAATCCCTCTCCCTAACTAAATATCCAAAACCAAACACACACACAAAAAAACCCCTAATAACCAAGCACTCTCAATGTTTCTCCTTCCCTGGAGTCTGTAAGACTACCAGGAAATGTCATTATCTTCTTTTGCGAGTGGGGTTCAAAGAGAATGTCTCACATCAATTACAGGTTTTGCCAGCATAACAGCATTTATTTGGAGCATGGTGTGTGACTAGTAAAGCTGACAGCAGGAGCCTCTCAAAAGGAAGAGTTACTCAAATAGAAATATGATTACTGCTGTACTTCATTTCTGTTGGTGGTGTGGAATGAACTACACAACTGCACTCCAACACTCAGTGTCTGTGCAACGAGAAATTTGCTGGGATAGCTTTGCCACTGGATATTAAAGACTGTCATTTTGCAGTTGAACCAGCACCTGTACTCTATGGACAAACAAGTTAGAAAGCCTATGGACTGACAATGGGTTAAGATATTCCTAACAGTTCAACTGTAGACATGCTTATTCCAAAGACTCTGCCTTGTGCATGATTAGTTTAACTTGGAAATTCAGTTTAACCTGGTAGATTTAGCATGTAAACTTGAAGAAGTTAATAAGAAATAACTGCTTGTGGAGACAAGCCCTTGGGTCTTTTGTGGCCTTTCTGCCCAGAAGATGCTTTTGGCTGCCTAGTTGGATTCAGCTGTCAGCCTCTTTCCCCAGACCTCATATAGTCTCTGCTGCTTTGGTCCCTCTTAGACAGCTGATTTGGCTGAACCCCCTCATTGTTTGTCTGAGAAGAGGGTTCATTCACTCTGCAACAGCTGTAGTAAGCGTAGGCTTGATTACTATGCAAGTAACAACTTTTCCAGAGTAAATAGTCAGATACTGGCCTGTGTAAATAGGCAGTCTGTAAATTGGAGACTCCTTGTGGTAGAATTTATCTCTGCTCCAATTCTCTGAAATTCTTATTTTTAAGTAAGAATATTGGGTTTAATTTTGATATTGTTTTTTAAGCAGCATTGCCTTTTTATGTTAGATCACTTGTTTCTTTCCAGCTTTTGCATCTCTAAACCTCGCAGAGATGAGATCTATACTTATGTGCTCAAGAAAATGGGGATTAAGATGTAAATACACTGTTCTGCCTGTAGAGATAAAACCCACCTTCTCTTTAAGTATTATGTATTAATTTGCCCTCTGTACAACATTGGGAGCAGGTATCACAGCATCTCTTCTTACTCACTACAGGATTAATGTAAAATGAGAGAGACGGTCTAGCCAAATTCTCTAATGTCCTTCATTGCTTTGAGCTAGGGATGAAGGGGCAGAAGGTGGAAGTTCTGCTGAAATAGTGACATTTAGTGAGAGTAAGGGGTGTGGATGTATGGAGCTGGAAGAGACTGGGACCTCTTCCCAGATCAGTTTGTGGCAGCATCTGGGAAAATGCCATGCCAGGAATATACTGGTGGCTTGTGCTTTCTTTTTTTATTTTTTTATCCACCCCCCCCCCCCCCCCCGTAGGTTGAGATTTTTCTGTACCCTTTATGTACCCTCAAATAATCACCCAAGTCCCACAGATGAAGCAAAATATTTCCACAGAAACTTTTGTGATTACCGAAAAGCACTTTGGAGTCACCCATCTTGCACAAAAATTGCTATGCTCTCTGGCAGCACTGGTGACTGATGTGAACAGTGTGCCACTTGTTTTTTTTTATTTTGGGCATTGGGGGTTTTTTGCACATGTTCTTTTGATCTCTGATGAACTTGCAGGATATGAAGACAAATAGAGAAAAAGGAATAAGATGTCCTTGTCAGCTCAGCATTGGAGCAAAAATCCAGGGTCAAGTGACAGAATACAAAAGCATTAAAAATAACCTGGTGCAAAAAAGCAGGGACCCTTTTGGCCAAGAAAGTCTCTGTCACCTTGTTAGTCTTGTCAGAAAGGCATCACAAAACAACACTAGAAAAGGTTTAGGAAATGGTAGAGAGAAGCCACCTTCTGTGTTGAGCCTGCCTTGCAAAACAAGGATTTCCAAAGCTTAGTGTGAGAAGGCTGGGTAGTAAGAGGAACAGGCCAGGAAACTCAGGTTGCAGCAGAAGTTCTGGGGATGACAAAACAACGTAGGGAAACAAGACTTCAGGAAGCAAGCCAGGTATTCTCACTTGGGTCAGTATGCTGTCAGGACATCTCTGCTTACAACTTTATTTCTGTTTCACTAAGGAAACTACCTTATCAGCTGTGTGCAGAAATATGAATGTGGTATTCTGTGCAAAGACTCCAGGATCTGATAACAAGACTGCAAGTGAGGGATGCTGCAGCTGATTCAGTTTCTTACATATAGAGGAAAATTGTGTTGATTAGCAGAAGACTTTACACGTTGAAAATCTAGTAAGACGTGGGCGAAAGAGCCTTAGCATCAGCCAGGGATTTTGCTGGAGTTTTGACAGCCAAGCTCTGTGAGGTCTTGGTCTAGGCGCTGAAGACATTGTGCCACGATGTTCAACTGTCAGTTCTTCCCCTCAATGGAGGGATTACCACCCCAGTGGCAGATGTGACTGTACACCTTGATGCCCCTTGCTAGGTCCCTTGGTTCTGTTGCAGGGGCAGTGATCTCTTAGAGAAAGAGGTGAGAACACTTTTTAACTGAAGCATCAAGATTCAACAGCTTTTCTAGCAGAAATTCAGGGCACTGGCAATGTGTATAACCAGCAAGGCTGTTGTGAGGACTTGACCATTTCAAGCCATCAATGCAGTGAGCATTGTCAGTTCCCAGATTGGAGAGAGTGCTGCTTTTCAGGTCACTGCACACTATATGTTTGTGTAATTAAAAGTATTAACTTTTTATTATTCCAAAGGCTTCATTCTGCAATCAACTTGAAGCTACTGAGACTCATAATGTCAGGACTTCTTGCATGCGAGTGATTATGCTAGAGATATTGGCAATATTTACTGTTAAACAGGTATTTGAAATTAAGCTGCCATGCATCACAGAGCTGGGTTGTAGTTATTTAAAATGTATCAAAATTCAACAAAACTAGCAGCTGCCAAATCTGAGAGGTTTAGCAGTAAGTCCTGTATGTTGACCATGTATATGCAGACATGTTTATTGTACCAACCTGTATAGATACCATTTTATTTGTTGATATTAATTTTCAAAGAAAATTAAAATTATGTAGCTTTTAGGCATTAGTAAGATTTACTACACATGATTTTGGCGAATTGAACTGTATTTTTTTTTCTAACCCAGGCTGATGTGGGACAGTACTAAAATAAGGTTACCTTGAATGAAGAGAAGCTACATTACTACTTTCATGAATAAAATAACACTTTATAAATGAAATATTAAAATAGACAGGTAAAATAGAATAAAGAATGTAAATGAAGTACTGCAGAGTTCTTGCAATATACCGGGCAAGTGAAAAAGAGAAGGTGAATGTGTTAGGAGCAAATGTAGTTTAAAAATGCCTTATGTTATTGAACCTTCACCATGTTTTTCCTAATGGTTACTATGAATAGGATAAGGAGTAAGATTTATTCTGTGAAATAAGATTATTCCTGGTGGC